TTCGGAGGATTTTAGTTCCAAGGAACACCCTCCGTCGTTTTCTCGATGGGTGCCATGATCTGTGCAAACGCAGTTACTCGTAATTACTGTCTGTGGAAGGTCCACCCAAGTCAAAGTGTAGCCACAGTCACTCGAGATAGCATTTGGACTTTGGGGCGACGCGCAAGGAGGACAAAGCTCACTTGCAGAAAGAATCGCACAAGTAATCTTGGTAGCGTTTGCGTTAGTAGCTGAAACGTGTCCATTTGCAACTATACTGCGCTTTCTAACAATGTCGTTGGTTTTTAAACACAAGATTACCTTTTTTCTGTCGCAATTAAACCAACGAAGGCGACCACCAAACTCGAAGTAATTGCACAGAAGCCGTCTATGTGCGGGTCTCACACGCACAAGGCAAGTGTACTTGGTGAAGGCCACGCATGTTTAGAAATACTACACTTTGTGCCTTTAAATAGTCATGATACTTCTTCATAAACCAGCCAAGCTTAAAGAAACTACTGCTATCAATTTTACAAAAAGTTTTCTTGAGGCAGAGAGATCAGGTAGCAAATGTAACATTACACGCAATGTCAGCTGCCTAGACAGCGGTGTGCGCCCGTTCTTCTTTGCGTGTCTCATTCTGGAGACTTAAAAATTGTCCGCGTGTCTGCGTGTTTCACTGCAAATGTCGCTGAATGATAATAGACTTCTGCACCATAGAGTTTTTTGCTAGACCAATGTATTACAGTTCTCGAGCTCGAAGAAACTAGCAGCAGCCATACAAGAGTGTTCGGAAGTAATTGCCTCTATGAACAGACTTTCCCGAGAATGAAGTTCGTTTGAACTAGGTGTTCGTCGTGTGGTAGTTCGTCAGACTAACCTAGGAACAGCTCTAGCAACTTCAGTTTTAGTCCATCTTTTTTTTTTTGCGTTAAGGGTTTCCCGAAGGAGACGTTATATCGGGGGTGGGTTGATAATATTTCACGTGATTTATACAACAAAGAGTTTTACATTAACTATTTACACGCTGTTTTATTAAAGACGGGCAGGTAGTGGCGGCAATATTAACAGGAAGGCCAGTCCAGTCGTTCAGTCAGCGACATTGATGCAAATATTTGAAAGAGGGCTGAAAACTTGCTTTTTTGGGTTGAGCTTGTGGTGGTCTATGTTCGTAAATTGAAATTTTCTTAAATACGTGCTGAAAATATGTATGGCATATATTAGAGTTTTTTTTACCTGTTATGAATTCACAGAGCGTTTTCTGTATGTCCCCGAATCGCCTCCTTTTCCCGCCACTTTGACGTGCTGCCCTCGCCGTATCTTTGTTTCATGGTACTTGGCTCTCCGCCTCAAGAGGTTGCCTGCGGCTCTCCTAGATAATGAAGGGCGGGTGATCTATTGGTGGGCTTAGATTGGATGAATTCTGGTGGGTGCAGCCAGACAGCTTGGTCAAAGCATGTTTAACCTACCGCTCATATCGCCAGATTGCCGGATTTGATACCCATGGGTGCATCATGTACGTATGTTGAATACAAGTTATTACATGGGGTGTACAGCTGCAAGGAATTCATTTCTACGACGAAAAGTGTACAACTGAGGACACCACCCCATGACACTGTAGTTTGCTAAAAAAATGTTACGAATAAAAACCTTTCCATTCAGACACAGAGTGCGTAACAGGACAAATGACTTTGTATTATGACCACTTCAACTCATGCACTCAAGTGTGAAAGTTTAAGAGGTGTCTCAGCACTCCAAGCTGTGATGTAGTATCGAAGTTATTTCCATGTCGACAAATACCGAGAGAAAGAAGTGCGCGTAAAGAAATGCTTCATTATTTTGTGCTTCAATGTGTATCAGGTGATCAGTTTGGGCAGTTTGGGGCCAATCTGCTCAAAACGTGCACTGGGATAAGGGAACTACTTTGTTTCACGAAAGTTAGTACTCACCTATTTGTAGTCATTTTGAATGGTTCCACAGACATGCGCCATTCGTCTGTTACTTCAAACAGAAGATGGGTCCTTACCGCGTTCCCAGACGGGCTTATTAATGGCCTCTTTCAACTAAAGAGGCATCATACATTTAAACCATACTCCATTACGGAAATTTTTAAAGTTTTTTTTGGGCTTCAAAAACAGGTGCTTTGACATCCTAAGTAAGATACGGCAGACTCGCTAGCCTGCCAGAAAACGCTACAAAAAGTGAGACCTTGCTCTCAGTGGGCTTTAGATTTTCTTCGTATAGTGCGAGTGCACAGAAAGTGGACAATTAACAGTGTGATTTCTGTCTTATAAAAAATCTAAGACAGTGGTCGGCGACGTTGAACCCGACAGGCGTCATTATGAGGCTCCCGCAGTCCTCCTACTTCCATTGTCACTCTCTATAATTAGTGTATCTTTCCATCTCCTAAGCAAAGAAGCTCTTTCTGTATTTCAAATGTACGATTGCTCGTGTAGTGTAAATTTATGGGGTTTCTGTTTCAGTTATGTACATTATTTTCACATCACCGAATTTTCCTCCTTGCCTGCAAAGTTCTCACTACCTTTCCCGATCAACCCTAAGACCCTGCCATGTCTGCTTGATGCAACTATTAATGAGAACTCGTTATGACAATATGTACGAAGTAGACCGCCTTTTAACTCTTCTGGGCTTCATGCAACACTTGCCCCCCCCCCCCCCTCCCCCGCCCCCGGCTCTGAAAGTTGCCGACCTCTGCTCTAATAGGATTACGTTCATTTTTTAAAACATGATTGAAGCGCACCAAAAAAGGCTTATCAGCCTCTTCTGTCCGTGTGCTTCCGATGCATTTCAACCACATTTTCAAACAAGTTCTAACACATTTATAATACCGATGGCTATAAACTATGCTATTACATATACACTGTAACAACACAAATGATTGCGCTGAGAAAGTGTACTACTCCATGTCAACTACTAGGTTATGAGAGCTGCCACAGACTGCCATTTTCGGACCCAGCATCATGCCAAGTTAACAGGCACCAAGCTTCTTACCCTGACCACGAGACCACTTGGACGTCGAAATAGTTTAATTTAAGCCACCAAGGCCTGGCGGGGGCGTTCGCCTCAGACGTCCACTGCCGAGGATTAACCTTTTTTGTGTTAGTGGCAATGAGAGGCAGCCGCCAAGTTCCCCGAACTAAAGTATGGGCCCCTGGATGCACCGGCTGCGAACCGAGGCACTAGCCCCTTCCCGCAGTAGAAGTAACATGCCGGTGAGATGTAAGTAATCACCTCACAACTTTGTCACCCTCACCCTGTGGAGAACATGTGCCACTTATGCAAAAGTGGCATGATAGTAATATTTTTGGCCGGAGTTTTAAACGATGTCACGCTGATTATTGGACCCATGTCGATGGTCCCCTTTTCTTCCAAGAAAAGAATGAGGGGCAGGAGGGAGATTTAAGCGCAGGATATTGCTCTGATAATCAGTCTAATTGCTTGTACAACATGGGGTAGAACAAAATCATGGAGTATTTCTTCTATAGAAGTTGTCAGTTCGGCTTTGTATCGGCTGGCAGCCTGAACTTAACCGTTCGGATAGTTGAGATGCGTAATCAACTTGTGCCACGTAGACATCGAAAGTTGAACTCAGGTTGGCTCAACCAGCCTGCACACACCGTCAAGCCCCAGCTCCCGGAAACGTCAGCGTCGCAATGCCACCGACATCGCAGTCATGCAAGAACTCTCTGGGACTTTTAAAATGTTCCGAGGTTTCACAATAATTACAAATCTCAAATATTGCAATACAATCTACAAATGATTCTCAATAAATACAGTCACGTAAACAGTGTCTCATTAAAAGAACTACGATCTTTGCTTGTAAATATAGGCTAACTTTTGACGTTGTAAAATGTGCTGTCTGTACAATAGTACGATTTCATTTTTCTTTCAGTGTGTGCATCCATGGTGTACTGAATAGCTTATACGAAGAAAAATATATTGTGTCTGTATACATTGTGTCTGTATAATTTAGTTTGTCTGACATGTGATTTACATTGTACGATGCCGGACATACACAAGAAGAAAATTTGTATATATATTACCTGCTATTTCATTATTATTCTTCATTTTATTATTTAATTTTTGGCAATATTTGTGTCATGGTTATTGAATTTTTCTTTTTTTTGGCTCGTGTTCATGTAATCTTCTGTGCTATGCTGATATCAGGATGTTTCGTAGAAATGTATATATATATTTTTCTTTCACCGTATCTGGTATTGTAATGTAGGCTTATGGCCCTTATTGTTATACACATTTTCGTCATTGTCCCACCTGCCTTGTATGAGATTCACTGGCCTCGTTAAGCTATCTATAAGCAGCTATTAGCAAGTGAACCTCTCTAGAACCTGTTTCTTTCTGGAAATAGATGATTTGATTTGATTTGATTCTGGCATCCAATCGTTGAGGACTCAACGCTGCCGATCATCGCACGTATGCCATCACCTGTTAATACTTCTGAACCTTCCCATATTTAACCACTGCGTGTTTGTTAAACTGTTTCTTTCATTGTGTATTATTTAGTAGTTGTTAATATTTCTGGCTTGTAAGCTCATCTATTGTTTTTTACATGTATGTTTTAGTTATTTGAAGTATTCCATTTCTCTTGTCTCATAATAGTATATCAAATCCATTGTTCCGTTGTCCCGCATACGTCTCTGATCTCTTCACTGCTTTGCTTGTGTACGAAATGAGCTAACCTGCTGTCATTTTCGCCGCCGACTCACGCGCCGGCGACGCCAGAGTGGCAGCTTTTAACAACAGCCCTCTGTGCGCACTTCCCGATGTCGTCAGAGAGTACTCACTGGCGGCTGGCCAACCGTAATCTGCACGAATTTGCTCGATAAGAGGTAGTTTCAACACGCGTCAGCGTGGCACTCCGTTTGTCCCGTTCACGCGTCGTGCATGGCTTTACAATTTGGTGATGACGTTCACAGCTCTGCCTTCGACTCAAACAATGTGTGCTTTGACGGGAGCCGAAAGATGAGGTTGTTTCCGTACCCTCAACATACACAACATAGTTTATTGCAGCTAATTAAGGTTCTCATGAGAAAAAATTGCCAAGGAGAGTATGAAACCCTTGTATCTATAGAGTTCGAAGGGTGACCTAACATTTCTCTCGCACCTCATTGATGGAAGGTAGCACTCGCGTATTTTGTTTGTGACACAAACTCCAGCCTTGACGAGTGTAGGGCGAATCTATACGCGCGTTTTTGGAACCAGCAAATATGCTTGTCAAGCTCGTCGATGGCACTGGTATGATTCTTGTATTGCCCTGCATAGTCAGCTTCGTCTCAGTGCCCTTCCGTGCTTCTTTCTGGTAAATGACAGTGCATATGTCCTTGCACCGCGAAAATGGGGTTGGATTCGCTAGTGCAGGGAAAAAAAAGTCCGTCGCAAAAACTGGCCAAATATAGAAAGATACATCAATTTTCAGACGTGGATCTTGATAGCGGCTTGCCTTGAAGCGATTTGTGAGATGAACTTTTTTGTGATAGAGTTATTTCAGCTATCCTAACACTCGCCGTTGATGCTCATAGGATCACAGTTGTGAGGTGAATCTGTCCTACACGGTTCGCTGCTTTCAGCAGATTTCGATGGTGGCCTTGACGCTGCTCTCCGTCTGGACACAATTTTGAATGCCCAAACGCCCACGAAGAAAGCATTTAGAGCCGCCATTGAATGCAGCAGTCCACTGTAGTCACCACGTGAATCTCGGAAGTATCCTGAAAAGCAAAGAGAATATTCATTGCAAGACCACGCATGACACAAAAGGGCATAACAACTACAAAAAATTGGCAGATCCAACGTAGAGTCGGAATCGATTATGCGCGAAGCACCCATGAGAAAGGGTGATATGTCACTTTAAAATCAGCATAAAGTCGAAAGACGTAGGCAAATTATGCCATGCATGACTTCCATGTCATTATTATCATGTTTGCACGTTTCATTTACCTTCGTAATCTATTAACGTCACTTGATACCAACTTTGGTATATATGTAGTTAGCGAAACAGCCGCGCGCGTGCTATGAGAGTAGCATGCAGTCATGTTCTACATGAATTCTATAACATGATTGTCATATTTGAACGTGTCATTTACATTCATTGTCCCCTCTAACGTAATACCAAATTTGGTATATGTGGAACTAGTGAAACGGCCGCGAGAACGCTATGAGTGTAGCATGTAGTCACTTTTTACATGAAATGCATATTATGAGTATGAGGTTTGGACGTGTCATTTACCTTCGTCATCTGTTCACTTCTCGTGATGCCAAATTTAGTACATGTGGAACTAGCGTAACGGCGGCGAGCGCGTCATGAAGGGCCCAATATACTCCGACGCAACGTTGACGCACGCGTAGGCTGGGCGAAGCGACGCCACGCTAGAAAAACGCGAGCACTCTATAGTGTGACTCCAGGCGCGACCGGCGCGACCAGCGTCCGTCGGCGCGGCCCGTCGGCAACCGGCGCGAAAAGCGACATGCTGCATTTCGCGCTGATGACGTTACTTAGACAGCCCCGCGTCTGCCTCTTTTCGTGACGGAGGGATGCCGTGTGTGCTCAAACGCGCATGAGTCAAAGCAACGCAGCGCGGCACGCACCGGCGATTATATGGCATGCAGATCCACAATGAAGGTCAGTGGGCAGATCCATTAATCTCTATTAGGGGGATATCGGCGCCTGGCGTGGCATCGCCAGCCTGGCGCAATAAAACAAACGCCGGTGCGCCGGGCGCCGGCTCACGTCAAAGTGTATTGACGCCTTCAGTGTGGCGTAAAATAATCTTCTTACATGACACGCATCTCAAGATTATCATGTTCGACCCAGTCACCTATCTTCGTCATTCATTCACGGGACGTAATATCAAATTTGGGCATATGTGAAGGTAGAGAAACGGCCGCGAGCGCATCATGAGTCTGGGACGCAGTCCTGTTGTTACATGGCACGCATTTCATGATTATCATGTTTGCACCAGTCACATACATTCGTCATCCATTCACGTCCCGTAATACCGAATTCGGTATATGCAAAGCTAGCTAAACAGCCCCGAGCGCATCATGAGTGTGACATGCAGTCATCTTTTTACATGACACGCATGTCATAATTTCGATGTTAGGACCTGTCGTTTGCGTTCACCATGCAGTCATGTCATACCATACCAGTATTGCAACATATCACGTGAATGAAACCACCGCAAGAGCAGCAAAACCATGACAAGTAAATAATGACATTTATGACATACATGTCATGATTTTCATGTTATGACTAATCAGTTATGTTCGTCATACGGTCATAGTATATCATACCAGGTTTGGGATTGATACCATTATCCAAACGACCAGGAGAGCTAAATGGCCTAGGTGGCTAGATAGATAGATAGATAGATAGATAGATAGATAGATAGATAGATAGATAGATAGATAGATAGATAGATAGATACGCTCAAAGTCGCCGAAGTTCGCCGAGAAATGCTTCGCATTTACTTGTATTATTGATCATAATAAATAATTACTTATTTAACGTGCCCAGGAACAGCCACGAGGTCTTTGTGAACGCGCACGCGGAAATAGGTCCATAAAAATGATTGCAATACAGACAGTCTTCTGAAAAAGTAATCAAATGAAATTAGCGAATGCACACAGACAAAAAGATACCAACGGGAAACGGGAAGAATAAAAAAAATCACAGCATATACACGGAAAGAATGATGATGAGTGGGGCGAATCATCCATCAGCCCGTCCGTGCTTCCGTACGTCCATTCGTTCTTGCTTCCGTGCATCCGTGCAATTATCCGTGCGTCCATCCATGCGTTCGTCCGTGAGTACGTCCATTCAACTGTCTGTCTGTCTGTCTCTCTGTCTGTCTGTTTGTGCGTCCATGCGTTCATACATTCACCCATCCATTCATCCATCCGTTCGTCGGCTAGTCTGTCTGCCCGTCCGTACGTGCATGAGCTCATCTAGTGAACACTCCAAGTACCTCCATCTCCCATCTCACATCCCCTGTGGCACATACCCGCTCTAGAGCGGGTATTTGCCACCGGTGGTTACGTACTGCTTCATACATACAAGGAATGGAAAGACCCAGGCTTTAGGAAGCTTCGCCCCTAAAAGACAAGATGAGAATAATAGAATGGGAGTAAAAAAATTATGTGAAACGTGCACAGCTACGCGAAAGGCTTCGTGAAAGACGGAAAAAGGAAGAATCTATACATTGTGAAAAGCTACATTGGGACAGTTCAAAGCTCAGATAAAAACAATGAATGTTGAACATGAAAAACATCAATATGAAGAAAGTTAACAGTATAGAAACTCTAATTTGGGAGGGTAAACTATTGGAGAAATTCGGCAGGTACAAGAAACGGTTGGCTCTCTATGATTAGCTTACTTGGGATGGATGAATGGATGGATGACGTTTATTATGCCCTTCGGAACGCACTTTAGCACGATGTGGGCCTCTCCGACGTCAAAATTTGAAAATTAATACAACTGAGTAGTATAGGCACAGACTTCATACGTTAAAATAATAATAATAATAATAATAATAATAATAATAATAATAATAATAATAATAATAATAATAATAATAATAATAATAATAATAATAATAATATAATTGGGATTTCAGATGCTGGATCCACGGTATTTTTATAAACCGCGTCGCAGTGGTGAGATCAAGAATTTTCTACGAGTTGGCGTTTTTTAACGTGCGCCTTACCATGGCATTACCACGGTGATGAGGCACGTTGAGATCACTTCCCTGGTCGCCCTATGGGCATCTGTTGAGGGAATGAACGAAGTCTTCGAAGGCTGTTCAGAATGATTGTACGACAACGGAGGGCCGGTGCAACACAGTGGTTTGCGCATGAAGGCACTGGTGGCTTCCGAAGGGTCGGTGATACCTATCGCATTAAGTCGCCGCGTCTCTGTGGGGTCAGTCATGAATGACGTAGATTGGCTGTGGCACTCACGTAAAAGGAATGGAGCCGATGTGCTGTTTTCGAGATGCGAGCCGTTAGCAGTGTTTACTTAGTAAACGTCTTGCACCAGCCAACCAAACATCGCCTCAACGGCGCACATGTCTTTACTCAGGCGTTTGATTCTCCCAGTTATTTTACGCAATTACAGCTTATAAGTAGCGCGAGAAAGACAGGGACAAGGAAGTGTACACCATAAGCGCTTACTCACAACTAAAATATTTAAAGCTTCAACCGAAAATATATAACACCTACACTTGGTGCTCGACTGCGCATGCGCATCGTGGCCGAAAGAAAAGGCAAAAAATCAAACCAAGAACACACCTCCTGCCGCCCCCTCCTCACCGGACTACTCTTTTTGCTTGAGTAATGCGACTTCCTTGTCCAATAATGCCAAAGAAGGGTTGCTAAAGTGCATATGAACCCTCGCGTTGATATAAAAAGCTTCGACATTTTATTTATTTATTTATTTATTTTAACATACTGCAGCCCCTCTTGGGGCTATAGCAGGAGTGGGTACATCGCACAAAACCGTGCATCGAACAAGTTCAATAATGAAACAAAAGCAAAAAGAAAGAAAGAAAACATAGTAACGACGAAACCAGGTATTCGAAAGTCAACATAGAAGGATGTGTACAGTTTTAGCGGCATGGTAAAGGGTTACATAAAATCGACCTAATACACACATCTAAGTACAAAAGTGCACTCGTACAAAGGGGGAAAGGAAACAAAGCGGTATATGTACGTAGTTTACAATAGTTGTATTTTAGAAGCAAATGTAAGCAAGTCAAGAGAGCGCACGTGGCCAGGCAACAAATTCCAACGCTCAATTGTTCGCGGAAAAAAGCTATATTTGAACGTGTCTGTGCGGGGATGATACGGGGAAATGTTAAGGGTGTGATTGCTTCTGGTCTGAGTGGGGCTTGCATATGTGACATATTTGTTTGATGATAGGCGATATGAACAGTGAATGATGCGGTGAAAAAAGGTTAGTGATTCAATTTCACGACGGGCAGCTAAGGTGGTTAGCTCTAGAGATACGAGGGCTGTGGTTGGTGAAAAAGCGCAGTCATACCTGCGACAGATGAGTCGGATGGCTTTCTTTTGAACGGCTTCAATTTTGTTAATTTCGCCTTTTCGGTAAGGGTTCCACACGGAGCATGCGTAGTCAAGTGTCGGTCGGATTAGTGTTTTATACATCAGGAGTTTGGTGTCTTTCGGTGCTTGGCTGAGTGTGCGTCGAAGATAACCCAGTTTCTTAAGTGACTTTGTGCATACATATTCGATGTGTTTTGACCAGGATAGGTTACTTGTGAAAATAATGCCAAGATACTTATATTCTGTAACTCTTTGGAGGTTTATGTCAGCGGATGAGTACGTGAAATTAGACAGGGAACGCTTGTGAGTAAAGGACATGGATACTGTTTTGCGGAAATTTACGGACATCTGCCACGTTTTACACCACGTGCAAAACCTAGAAAACGACTCGTTTAGTTTTTGGTGACATTGCGGTGTGCTAATGGTGTCATATAGTACGCAATCGTCCGCATAAAAACGGATTTTAGAATTGATGTTGCCAGGCAGGTCGTTTATGTAAATCAGAAATAGCAGTGGTCCAAGGACCGAGCCCTGGCAAACTCCAGAAGTTACGTTAGATTTACTGGATATGGAACCATTAAATTCTACGAATTGCGCGCGATCTGAAAGAAAGTTTTCTATCCACTTGACCAAGGCAGGGTTGTTTAAT